TTTAAAACAAACAAAAAAAGTAGTAAAGTCGGACGGGGCCGACTATATGATACCCTTCACCACTTTGAGTATATTCAACAAATGAATCCTAACAGAAGTCGTATGTGTCAGTCTCGTTTCCTTCTGCCTGTTACAAACATATGCACAAAAACATAATATCCTGTGCAAGAAAAAAAAATTAACCAATATTTATAGTGTAGAGATGTGCTACCTAATAAGAACTAAACGTACTAAATTACAGTCAATTTGGTTGAAAAATACGATCAGAACCCCCAAAATACCAAAAATTTGGGGTACCCTTATATGGGGACTACCAGAAAAACTAGACCTATATTTATAATTTTTAGTGGAGTAATTTGGTACCCAATAAGAACCCAATGTACAAAATTTCAGAGAATTCAGTTATAAAACAAGCCCAAGAACCCGAAAATACCGAAAATTGGGGGTACCCTTATAGGGGGGCTATCCGAAAAAATGGACATTTGTTTTTAATTTTTGGTAGGGAGATTTGCTACCCAATGAGAACACAAAGTACCAAATTTCAGCAAATTCTTTCGAAAAATGCTATCAAAACCCCCAAAATACCGAAAATTGGGGGTAATCTTATATGGGGGCTATCCGAAAAAATGGACCTTTATTTATAATTTTTGGTAGGGAGATTTGCTACCCAATAAGAACTCAATGTACCAAATTTCAGCGAATTCAGTTAAAAAACGCGCTCAAGAACCTCAAAATACCGAAAATTTGGGGGTACCCTTATATGGGGGCTATCCGAAAAAATTGACCTTTATTTATAATTTTTGGTAGAGAGATTTGCTACAAAATAAGAACTCAAAGTACCAAATTTCAGCGAATTCAGTTAAAAAACGCGCTCAAGAACCTCAAAATACCGAAAATTTTGGGGTACCCTTATATGGGAGCTATGCCTAAACGTGGACCGATTTTCTCCAATTTCAATAGGTTTCGTCCTTGTGCCAATTAAGTGACCTGTGCCAAATTTCATCCAAATCGGATCATAAATGCGACCTGCACTTTGTTAACAAAAATACATGGACGGACGGACGGACAGACGGACATGCATAAATCGACTCAGAAAGTGATTCTATGCATATTCTCAAAAGGAACCATGGGTCTATCTCGATTATTTTTGCCTGTTACAAACATATGCACAAAGACATAATACCCTGTACCACAGTGCGGTGAAGGGTATAAAAACCGCACGATAGTCCAATTTTTTAATGAATTACAGCGCTATCTTTAGATGGGTACAAATGTACCACGGTTATTGATCTACGAATACTTTTTTGGTTATTGACCGTAGGGTTAAGTGAATTCCTCTTTAGCGGGTACAAACAATTTTTACTGGTCAAAGCAAATGTGAATACCACTAATTTAGGGGATTCCCTTTTTTACACGGCTTCTTCTGGAATCAATCTACCGTGTAAAGACAGACTTAGGTGTATAATTAAATTACGTCATTTACATAAATTAGGACGAAAATATATATGGAAGCTATATCCAAATCTGAACCGATTTCACTGAAACTTTCCACACAGCGCACAGTGGGAAAAAATACCGATCTAGCGCGCAGAAAATAAAAAAATGAACTTGAAATTTTAAGACATTAATGCAGTTTTAAAGTAGAGTGTTGAGAGTACTTAAGTCCGTATAAAATAATCCGAATTAATAAGCTAGAACGGAATAACGGTACATTTAAAATAGAACTTTTGGTATTTTTTAGCTATAAAATTGCGATGGTCGTGTGCATTCTGTGAATATATTATTATAAAATTTTGTCCATTTTTGATATATAGTATTGGTATTTAATTAAATGGTATAGTTATATAACCCATAAGTTATTTTAATTTAGGTGTTTCGGGCTAAATATATGTAAGGTCCGTTTTTTTAAATTCCTTCAATTAAAATAGGGGTTTAGTATGGAGTGCAGTCGAGTTCAGCGTTGATTTTTGTTTTATTTTTCTTGTGTGTCTGTCTAGAACATCATACTAAATTTTTCCTGCGACTCTCAGATTTATGGCAATTTTTTGAAAAAATGCCAATTTGGTGTAGGTAGCTTTTTTTAAGGTTTTGTTCAAATAAAATTAAAATTTTGTGAATTTTTTTGATATAATTCATCGAATATGACTTGGAATAGATCACAGCATAGCAGATAAGAAAAAAACAAGTTCAAAATGTCCATCCTAAGGTTCCAGAGTACTGGGTGTGAGTATGAAAATGAGGATATTTAAGTAAGCTGATCCAAACGTTGATTTTAAACTCATGCACTGAATATACATTTATTCCAAATGTCTTTCGAAATAAAAATTGAAATTACAACGAAATCGGTTCTAAGAGTCTTCTAAAATACCGCAGGTAAAAGGTCCACTTTATGAACCCTGAAAAATATCATTGGTGTAACATTCATATATACACGGTTTTACCTACATTTATGGTTTTCGCTATAAGCACATAACACCAAAAGTAATGAATGATTACAACAAAATTTCGTCACTAACACCAAACATCGACTTATACGAATACGGCCTGTCTACCTTACATGCAAGGATTCGATGTTTAGAATGTATATTGCACATTTCATACCGACTGGTTTTGAAAAAGTGGAAAATTAATAGCTCCGATCGGCCACTTTTCGAAGAAAGGAAGGCACGTATCATTAATGATTTGAAGGAAGAAATGCACATTATTGTTGACACACCTAAGTCAGTATCCGGAACAACAAACGATGGCAATACTGCTAGGCGTTTTTAGCCAACCTGGCTTGGCATCGTCGATAACTGGTGTTGATGAAAAATTAATTAAAAATTTTAGTATCATCCTTTCATCCATGGCCTGTGGATATGCTATTAACGTAGAGTCTTTCGTGGAATTATATTCTTGGTTCTATATGCCTTCAAGCATACCCAAAATATTAGTGCATGGAGCTGATGCAATTAAATGTGCAGCTTTGCACATTGTCTCGTAGTATATCTCTTAACCATCGATATAGTGAGCCACTATCTGAAGAATTCCTTAAACTACTGGAGGATCCAATGCTACCAACTAATTCAGATCAAAACTCGGATTCTGAATGTGATTAGTATTCAATAAGTAACGCCTAATTTTTGTTAAATATATATAGTTTAATGTTTTAGATATGTAATATTAACAATAATAAAGATATATATAATAATAATAGTGTTTGCCCTTAACCCACTTTTTACCCTCCAAATGTTTCGGAAATTTTAAAAGAAGCTCCCATTTTAGGAGTACTATTAGTTATAACGAAAAATGTTGCTTATTTTAAAATGTTCAAACCCCTGTTCAGACCTGATCCAGCCTTAATAAAGATAATAGATTGTGCAAAGTATGGTTCAAATCGCCTGATACTGGATTTATAAATATTGAACATATTGACCCTTTGTGAGGGAGGTATTTTTAGCACAATTTTGACCATTTTGTGTGGGAGGTACCACAAGGTGTGGATCAATGGGGTGGATCAATCTTGTACAAAGATTCGTTAAAATCAGATAGTTCGTTTGCAGGTTATTATAAAATTAATTTTTAGCACAATTTTGACCTTTTGTGGGGGAGGTACCAGAAGGAGTGGACCGATATTCCCCATCTTCGAACTTAAACTAAGTTAACATGTGAAAAGTTTGGATGAAATTTATTATTCCCTTCGAGAGTTATCGTAAAACGGATTTGGTCCAAAGAAACCATTATTTCGATGAGGCACATTTTCACCCTATCAAAGTGTATATACCCTCATTAGCCATAAGGCTGAGGGTATAAATATATATGGGAGCTATATCTAAATCTGAACCGATTTTCACGAAACTTAGCACACATTATTCTAGGCTGAAGTCAATACGCTTTGCCAAATTTTGTGCAAATCGAAAGTTATAAAGGGACTTTGGTGCACCATTTACATTATATCGTACGAAAATATATATGGGGTCTATACCAAAATCTGAACCGGGTGAAGGTTCTAAAAAATAACAACTACCAAACAACAACAAAACTATTATATCAAATAATTTTCTTATCCTTAAAGTCTTCAAGTACATATACAAAATTTTCAACATTGCTTATAAAAATCATAGGCGATACAGCAAAATTTCAAACATTTTCTAAAATATACATGTGGCCCACATTCGACGCAAAGCCCACATAACTCAAATTTATTCTATTTTTACGTCGAAGACCAGGCTTATGGTAAAAATTATGAAAAAAAAATTGGAATGAAATGTCTGCATAAAACAATATTTTATAATTATGTTACAGGTAAACGGTAAAGCCAGCTGAGCTATTCATTGACAAAGACATAGAAACCGTAAAGACTCGACAAAATGCATTTTGACAAAATAGTCAGGCATCAGGCATAACAGAGGCATGTTAACAATAAAAACGCAAATACCCGATAATGTGTGTATAACATGTAAATAAAATTAGAGATCTGTACTCAAAAAATATATAATGTTTTTATTTTATAAGCTTGCGGTATAGCGTTTAAAACGTTTTATATTGTTTGCTCTGTTGTTATGATATGGTAACAACAGAGGAAAAGCCATCTGTTGGGAATTGTTTAAGTATCGATTGTCCTATCTTTATACTTTTATGTCTTTGTCATTGACTTCTATTCTAGACTTTATGGGGAACCCTATGCAAATATTTGTCTGAATTGTGCAAATATTTGGGAATTTGGTGCACTAGAAAATTCAGAAAACTTTGCCAAATGTTCTCAAAAGGAACACTGGGTCAAACTCATACGTAATACCCAGTACCACAGTGTGATGAAGGGTATAAATATTATGAGCATAAATACTTTTTAAAATAAATTGGGTTCCTTTTCTATTGAATAAGGACGAAATCATGTATTAAAAAATAATAAATTGTTGTTATATATATGCATTACAATAATTATATGGATTATATGCACCGATTATATCCGGGAAATACTGCAATATAGAATAGGCAAAATTTTTGTATTCATTACATACTTTTTCGTAGTCAGCTTCGTTTTTTGTCTGCAGTGGATTGAGCAATGCCTGATTGCAGAGATCATCACCATTAACACCAGCGCTGCCGCTACCAGTTCCGCTGCCACCGCTACCGTCTCCTCCATTTTGTTGACTGCAACGTCGTAACCGCGACCTCTTCAATCTAATGCAAAAGAAAATATTGCCATCCTTTTCCGTGGTTGTGGCCACAGTACCAGCTGTGCCATCAACGTCCGCCAAATCCGAAGCGCCTGCGTTTCTTGTCAAACTACTTGGAGAACAGCCCATTGTTTATCAATGTTGACTCCGCTCTCTCAATTATCCGAGCGAGACGTAGACGTCCAATAACGACCAATTTCTAGCCGTTCTTTCCCCTTCAGACCCGCTAAGTGTTATATCACAGTCACTCATGCATCACTTGTCTTTAAGCATGCTCTATGATAGTCTAGTGGTTGTTTAAACGGTTTGTATCCTCGCTTAATGTTTCCGTCATCAATTTTAATGAACAGCAATGTTCATACCAACGGTTTTTTTTATTTTCAGTTACAGTAGATATCCTGAAAAGATACAAAACGACACAACGCAATTAATTACAATATATAATTTAATGGTTTTATTTCTCAAGAATGTCTGTTTAAAATTTCAAGTGATCATTTCAAAAACTCGAAATATATAATCGATTTATTGTGTAAGCCAGAAGTAGGTGGTAATGAAAACGTGTCTCAATACTTTAATGAGTTTTTCTCGAAACAGTGTTTTTGCAGTTGGCGGGCATGATAACTCAAAAACTAATAATCCAATTGGTTCCAAATTTTAACACGTTATTATAAATCTACATAACTAGTATAAATCCATTTTGGTGAAGATCTTCTTCACTTTTCAGCTTGGTTTTTGATTGAAAATAAACTATTTTCAAAAATTAATTTTCCTAGGTCCGCCATTTTGCTAATTTTTGTTTATGTGTTTGTAATGTTTTGAAAAATATAAAAGAATTAAAATATGTTCAAATTCAGTTGTATTTAAAAATCAACATTACAGCATTCAGATAAAAACTTAAATTCCTCACAATATAATAAACAAAACTACCTGTTGAATATGTTTATAAGTAAGTATGACATTACAAGACATTGCACTAGTCTACAGTTTTTGTTAATTTCATCAAGTAATTCTACCTCTTGTTATAGACCAAGGCAGCATTTTCTTACATCGCTACAAACGTTGAAATTAATGTTAATATTGCAGGTCACAAAACTAGTTCGTTATAACCGTGTTCGTTACAAACGTTGTAATATGTATGAAAATGAGGTACACAGTTATTAGGGCCGGATATATATAAATATAAATATAAATATCTCGTTATTTACTACGTATTATTATTGCACCGAAATCGAACATAGTTATGCGTTTAAAGGTATTTGGAGGAGTAGATCGATTCACGTGATCTGGTTATGATTCACGTGATCACGTTTACGTGATCTGGTTAATGAATAATAATAATTGCAATGATACAATGTTGCTTCTCATTTTATTCCGTTTAGAAATGTAAATTAATTATAAATTTTGGGTCTCTATCTAAAGCTGCACATTTAAATAGTCTCTGGCCAATTTGATAACATATAATTTCTAGTTGTATAGTAACATAATATCAACCAGGTTTATGATTATTGAGGGCATGTTCCAATATAAATTTGTTCGTTAATTGCACAACGCCCAATACAACCTAACATCGAATTCCATTCCCACAGTCATCAATTTTTATATCAGTCGTCTCTAAACTAAAAAACTAAAGCATCTAAAATTGCAATCTGAATAAATGAAATGTGATTTTTTTTAAATAAACTCATAGTTAACGTTTTTTCAGAAATAAATAGGTAATTTATTCACTTTTAAAAAAGAGACAATTCAAACGCAAAATTTATTGTGAAATAAAAAATATTCTATGGAAAAGTAAATTGACCCAATGTTTTTTGGTCAAAACTAATCGGCAGCATAACTATTATTTTTGATTACGGCAGCACACCTACTAGGCATTGAATCTATAAGATGCTCGCAGCTTCGCATCCTGAATCTTTGGGAAGAGGTTATGTTTGTTTGCAGTAAGTCAAAATTGAAATCCATGACATCCATTTAAAACTGATCTATACGAATCGAAATAGGTGTAGACAACAAAACGTATTAATTATAACGGTACAATAACTAAAATTTTAGAGCTCTTCTGTTTGTACTGGTTTGGTTTTGTCTAACCATAAATAAGTTTTTTTCATAACGAATTTTGCGTTAATGCTTTTTATTTTTAAAAGTCCGGAGATACAGTACCAAATTAAAAATCGACGAAACCCCCATTTTAAATTATTCTCTATATTCTGTTTTACGAGAATCAAAAATAATTTTGATGGCAGAATTGGTATATTTCGAATACGAATTAAACGAATTTAAATAATTTGGACTGTACACATTTTGCCCTCTTCTCTATATTAAAAATCTTATAACTTTACCAAAAATTTGAATTCTTTAGATTTTTCTTGTGATATGTATCGTTCATTATCAACTTTGCAATTTTAGTTGCTTTAGTTTTGTCCACCAGTGTATATATACATATATTCTCTGCAGTAATTTTCATTTTATATTTCATGTTTGTACATGTCCTGATACGGATTGTCATCTAAGTACTGTTGATTTTGTTTTTTTTGTCTGCATTCAGATGTCAAGCAAGAGGATGTTGTGCGAATACTGATTACGATTACGGATAAAAAAATCCATTTTATTTCGGAAGTTTTTAAGAGACATACTAGTTATAGTAGTGAACACGATTTTGTGATTGCTAAAAAAAAAACAATTAATTGCATGGTAGAATAAGTTTAATTTTAAATATAACAAAAATATAAAATAAAAGCAATTAAGAAATGTTTTCCCTGTCGCATTTTTTCTGTTGTCTTTAGTCAAACACCAGTGCAAAGGGTAAAAAATAGCGAATGGTAGAATTTTGGATTTTTTGCTATATATATGAATAGTTTAAATCTGTACTATTTTTTTAATATGTCTTCCTTCATTCTGAGCTACAAAAACAAACAAAAAAAAACGAGTACTGTACTATGCTCTTACGAATCTATGTTAAAGTTATGTGCAAATGGACAACTATTAAACATAATGTTGTTTCGGGGGCAAGGGGTTGGACCAATTCATAAAATGATGGTTTATGTATTATGTATAAGCAGGACGTGATTCTGTCTTATACCAGCGAGATAATGACCCAAAACATACTCTAACAGTAGTTAAAAAGTGATTATCCCAACAATTAGATTTAAGTTCTACCTTGGCCTGCCCAAATGCCCCTTTTTTACCCAATCCTGAAGTTTTTGGTGATCATTGGCTCAAAAATCAACGGGGAAAATTTCCAAACCAAAAAAATATTGTTTGTAATTCTGAATTCTTTATGTTTTTTTTTTCAATAATAAAGATATTAATAAATGATAAGAAAACATGTATAACTTTGTTTTCATAAACATATTATCATTTAAAAAGATGTACTGATATTAAATAGCATTGTTTGTGAAACCAAAAGTATTTCAATATTTTGATTTCGATAACACGTCGTGTGTGGGTGGTTGTGTGACATTGTGTTTATTTTTGTATTTGAATTTATATACAGCGCTCACACACTTGTCCACATATTAGTGGCCGACGATTTTGCTAATTGACGATATTTTGATTTGGCAACTTTTGCCACATTGTTGCGGCAATGGGGCCATATTATAGTCTCCCTCCCTCTCTCTCTCTTCATATTCCATATATCGGTGATTTTTTATGGCTGTTTTCAACAGCCCGTTTGCAGAAACAGTAGTGGGTCGATTGGTGGGAGGGTGGCATTGACCATGACCATGACAGTGTTTGTACAATTTTGACTGCGCATTGGATGCGACGTGAATGAATGAATTTTCGTGTTAAATGTTCACCTTTGGCAAACGTTCAAGAATACCGTCATTGTCTGTCGGAATTGGCAAGGGTCACAAATGTTACTAAAGTTAAACGCCAGATTTTCAATTGTATGCAATTAATTTAATTTGCAAAACCAAGTAGACATATTAGCATAATTAAATACTATAACATGTACAACTGTCAAATCAATGGTTAAAAATAAACTTAGTTTTTAATATTACACATTCTAATCATAAGTTGCTCGTTGAATTATGTACGCAATGAAAATATTAAAATTAGTATATTGTAGTTATATGACATTAGTGGCTGACATTTAAACGCTTGAATTTTTTTCTTTTAATTTTGAAACTTTTTAATTTATATTTAAATAGAAGAACAATATTCTAATGAGATGCGCTTTAAGCTTTGTAATACGGATTTATTATTGTACCCTACACCATATTGTGGTATTAGGACCTTGTGTACTTGTTTGTTATTTGTTATATGCAAATGGAAAAAAAAAATTAAAATTGTAACTGAAAGGTTTCGAATAACACTCAAAAAAAAGTTTTTGGCCCACCGTTTAGTCTACTAAACGTCACATCTCTATTTGCCAAATCGGTTTAAATTATGAAATAAGGAAAAGGAATTCCATATTCGAAAGGAAGAAAAATCAATAGTTTCGAACCAATTTTCATCAGTTCTCTTAGCATTTTTATACCCTTCACCACACTGTGGTACAGGGTATTATGTCTTTGTGCATATGTTTGTAACAGGCAAAAATAATGGAGATAGACCCATGGTTCCTTTTGAGAATATGCACGGAATCTCTTTCTGAATTGATTTATGCATGTCCGTCTGTCCGTCTGTCCGTCCGTCCATGTATTTTTGTTAACAAAGTACAGGTCGCATTTATGATCCGATTTGGATGACATTTGGCACAGGTCACTTAATTGGCCCAAGGTTCAGATTTAGATATAGCTCCCATATATATTTTCGTCCGATTTAAGCTAAATGGTGTACCAAAGTCCCTATATATCTTTTGATTTGCCCGAAATTTGGTATAGCGAAATGAATTAGGTTTAAAATGATGTGTGCTAAGTTTCCTGAAAATCGGTTCAGATTCAGATATAGCTCCCATATATATTTTCGTCCGATTTAAGGTAAATGGTGTACCAAAGTCCCTATATATCTTTTGATTTGCACGAAATTTTGCATAGCGTACTTAATTAAGTCTAGAATAGTTTCGTGAAAATCGGTTTGGATTTACATATAGCTCCTATATAAATTTTCGTCCGATTTAATGTAAATGGTGTACCAAAGTCCCTATACATATTTCGATTTCACAAAATTTGGCATAGTGTACTGAAATG